TTGAAACTCTCTTCTCTATTAGAGGACACATTTGTTCCATTTCATTTGTTTACATATGTATTTGAAAATTTGAAAAAAAGGCATCTATGACTGATGTACTGGTTCAAGTGCTCCTCGTAGAGGATAAAGAGGGGATGGACTGAAAAAAAAATATAAAAAGAAAAAAAAGAAAAAAAAAAGAGGGGCTGGACTGATGTGCTTTCCTGAAAGCACATCCCTAGACTCTGCACACATCTCATATTGTGAGTCTCCCATCCCTTTCCCTGAGCTTTCACCATGCCCCTTGGATTCTCTCTATGACCCTTTGTATCCACCAAAAAGTACTCTGGATGACCTTTGTAAATCTAAGTTAGGTTATATCACTTCTCTTCGAGTACTTGATGTGTGCACTATATCAATCAGGAAAACATGTCTAAAATCTTTACCTTGTGATCACCGAGACCTATGTCATCAGGCTGTTCACCACTTTCCAAAAATGCTTCTGCCATTTCCCCCACTCTCCCATCTACTGCCTTCTTGCATTTTTTGAAACCTATTATGGGGCCTCCCTGGTGGCGCATCGGTTGAGCGCTGGGTTGCGAAGTTGCCCGTGGCCTCTGCGGCACCGGTTCGATCCCCGGCTGCTCCCATGCCACCAGAGGAGGGTCCCACATGGCGCGCAGACCTCTCCTGCCGCCCGCTGCTCCCCTCAGCAGTGTACTCGGTCCCTCTGCCTGCTCTGCTCCAGCTCTGGCTGTGGTGAATTCTCTCACTCTCCCGTGCTTCTGACTGTACCCAGTCATGTATAAACAAAACAAACAAACAAATAAAATAAATAAATAAATAAAACATGCCTCTATAAAAAATAAAAATAAAAAAAAAATAAAACCTATTATGCACAGTTCTGCATCAGGGCATTTTCACATGCTGTTCCCTGTGCAAGGACACTTTCTCACAGAGAACCAGAAGTCATACCGCTACTCTCCACTTTGCTCTGATTTCACCATTTCAGTGAAACCTTTCCTAAATAATCTATAGCACACTAGCATTCATCATTTTGTGTCTCTATACCATCCTTTTGTCTTAGCTTTAAAAAAAATTTGTTTTGATCTATTTATGTATACAAGAACTGGGGTAGAGGACAGAGGTTTTGGGGGTGAGAGGATGCACCAGAGACAGAGTGGGGAACAGAACAGGCAGATCAACTGAAATACACTGCTGAGGGGAGCAGAGGGTGAGTCAGGGGACATTTGCTGTGCCATGTGGGTAGTTCCCTCTTAGCTCCCTGTTTTTTATCATTCTCATATACATGCTATACATCATTGTTGTGAATTTTGAATCTGTATCCACTGAATAAAGGTTGAGCTTTCTGTAGCAAGCACTCTTTAAATATATCACTATTATATCCCACACACCCAGAACAGAACCTGGAATGTACTAAGTGTATAATAATAATTAATCAAATAAAGACTTCAATCCACGAATGTGAGTCTGTTGGACTAATGTAGTTATAACACTGTTCTTTTGAAAAATCTATGAAATTATTCAACTGATGCCAGAAACCAGGGTTGAAAGATGAAGTGAGCAGATATTTTAAATGTTCAGAAAAGCACAACCAAATATAATTTCAAGTATGTTCCTGAGAAGGAAACCAATAACATGCTTAAATATGATATAAAGTTATAACAAATGAGTAAAACAAATTGTTGATTCTAAACTCCTTGTTTAATTTTTGACCAAGGAATATTGTTTGTACTAAGATAGAAGCTTGATAGAATTTCTGAGCCATAGGTGGGGCTCTTAGGGCATAATCCAAGTGTCCCATGAGCTACAGGTGAGAACAGTCATAAAACAAGTATCTGTACACACAATACTATACAGGATAAAATTCTTTATACCTGGTGTTGGTAGCTCATTGTCAATACTGTGATACTTGTATTAAGTGGAACATAGTTCTGCTCTCTTTTATTTTCTTTTTAGTTTTTTTCTTTAATTTTCTTTTTATTTATATATTTTTACATCATTGTTCATTTTTGAATAATGTTTGCTCTCTCCCAACTGCATGTGTAGTCCCCATATAATTTCCTTTGCCTATGCACTCCTGCACCATCACCACATTCCCCTGTGCTCCCCATCCATCCCATTGATCCCTCTCCCTCTTTCTCCCTTGCAGGATGTCTCTGGTTTATAGTTATCTGTTTTTGTTGTGTTGTGTTTTGTATTGTTATTATTTTTCCCCTGATGTCTTATTTGATTCTCCTATATTCCTCCTACAGGTGAAACCATCCAATATTTTTGCTTTTTCCTTCTGACACATTTCACTGAGCTTTACTGTGGTTCCTGTGTCTTTTTTTTTTTTTTCCTTCAGGTCTGGGTCATTATTTGGTAATCTGGGTTGTGTAGTCTGTAGAGGCAGAGAGAGAATCTAAGTAAGAACCAAAGCATAAGGAAATTTTTATTTTATAGGCTCAAGAACAAAAGAGGAGAAATTATAACAGACTCAGTAGAAATCAAAATTATAACAGGCTCAGGAGAAATTATAACAGACTCAGTAGAAATTATAACAGACTCAATAATCAGAGATTACTATGAACATTTATATTCAAACAAGTTCAATAATCTAGAAGATATGGACAAATTCCTAGCTAACTATAATCCTCCAAATCTAGATAAGAACAGAAAAAATAGAATACCAAAACAGACAAATTATAAGCAGTGAAACTGAAAGAATAATAAAACACCCACCAGAACAAAAGTCCAGGACCAGACACCTTCACAAATGAAGTCTACCAAATGTCCAGAAATGAATTGGTGCCTATCCTACACACTCTTTCAAAAAAATTGAGAAAGAAGGAATACTGTCAAAAAAGTTCTATTAAGCCAACATTACTAATACCAAACCCAAAGACATATAACACACACACACACAAACTAGATGCCAGTCTCCCTAATGAACACTGATGCAAAAATCCTCAATAAAATCCTTGACAACAGAATCCAATAATATATAAAAAGAATAATACACCATGATCAAGTGGTATTTATTCCAGTGGCACAAGGAAGGTGCAATATCTGAAAATCAATTAATATAATCCAACACATCAACAAAAAGAAAAATAAAAACCATATGATCACATCAATAGATGCTGAGAAAACATTAGACAAAGTTCAACACCCATTTATAACGAAGGCTCTCAATATTCTCAGGATAGAAGGAACATATGTTAACATGATAAAGGCCATATATGACAAACTCACAGCCATTATTATTCTCAATGGTGGAAAGCTGAAAGTCTTTCCTTTAAGATCAGTAACAAGACAAGGATGTCCTCTTTCACCATAGCTCTTCCAGCCCAAGCAACAAGACAAGAGAAAGACATACAAGAAATCCAAATAGGGAAAGAAGAAGTAAAACTATCACTATTTCCAGATTATATGAAAATGTGCATAGAGAGCCCTAAACTCTCCACAGAAAAACTAATCAAAATAATCAACCAGTTTAGTAAAGTAGCAGGATAAAATAATCAACATATAAAAATCAGTAGCTTTCCTATATATAAACAATCAATCTGAAGAAGAAGAAATCTAGAAAACCATCCATTTATAATTCAAACAAAAAATGAAATACTTTGGAATAAACCTAACAAAAGGGATAAAGGACCTATAGAAATAAAATTATAAAACATTGTTAAAAGAAATAAAAGACACAAAGAAATGGCAAGACATCCTCTGATCATTGATTGGAAGAATTATATTTATCAAAATGGCTATCCTACCAATAGCAATTTACAGATTCAATGCTATTCCAATAAAAATTTCAGAAACATTAATTCAAAAGGGCACCTTCACCCCTATGTTTATAGCAGCACTATTTACAATAGCTAAGCTATGGAAACAACCCAAATCCCCAAAAATAGATGACTGGATCAAGAAGATGCGGTACATATACACAATGGAATACTACTCAGCAATCAACAAAGATAAACTCATGCAATTCGCAGCAACATGGATGGAGTTGGAAAGGATCATGCTGAGCAAAATAAGCCAGAAGGAAAAAGAAAAATACCCGATGGTTTTACTCATAGCAGGATTTTAGAAAACCTAAATAAGGTACCAGATAAAATACAATTATAATAAAGAAAAAATCAAAATCAACAAGCAAGTATAAACCAGAGACACACCGTAGGGGGTAGGAGGGTAAGAGAGGAGGGATTAGGGTCAAAATAAGGGGGGGTGGGAATATAACCAAAATGAAAATGCATACATTGTGCAAAAATGAAAAATGGTGTAAAAAATACATAAAATTAAAAATAAAATTAAAATTAAAATAAAATTTCAGTGACATTCATTAAAGAAATCGTACAAACATTGGGTCCCCCCGGTGTTCTTGGGATTAAATCTCAGCACTGTCACCACTAAGGCCTGAGTTCAATCCCTAGCCAGGGAACTAACACACATATGGTGCAGCAGACCTCTGCTGTCTTGCCCACTGCTCCCCTCAGCAATGTATTTCAGTAGATTCACCTATTCTGTTCCCCATTCTGTCTCTGTGAATCCTCTCACCCCCCACACCTCTGGCCTGCACCCCAGTTTTCGTATGCATAAATAAATAAAAATAAACAACTAACCACCAAACTTTATGAACAGTGAATACAGTTTGACAACCCTAGCAATCAGCAATCATTGCTTATTGGCCTTCACCACTGGTATCACTTTCCCAGTTATTTGGTACTTGATACTCTCTATTTTCTTTTTTTTTTAATTTTTTTTAAGATTTATTTATTTATACAAGAAACGGTTTACAGGCCAGATGTGAGGGAGGGTGAGAGACAAAGCGGGAAAACAAAACAGGCAGACTGACGTTATACACTGCTGAGGGGAGCAGCGGGTGCTACAGGCGAGGTCGGCCGAGCCATGTGGGACCCTCGCCAGCTGGCTGCACTGCAGAGGCTGTGGACAGCTTCACAGCATCACGCTCAACCGCCTGTGCCGCCAGGGGAGGCCCCCAATACTTTCTATTTTCAAATGCCAGGAAAGAGGTAGAAACATTTTGGCATATTTAGTCTTTCAATGGTGGGCATCTGGAATTGATCACATCGTTTTTCAAATGATTGTTGTACCTAAGAACATGAAAGTACTTTAAATGAGACCTACTTCTTATGCATTATCAGAAAACATTTTGTACCATGACCCTGATATTTTTGTAAATGAAGGGTGCTTCTAGAGTGATGGGATCAAGCCTTTGGACATTCTAACTCCCTGCCACTCTTACCTTATTTGGGAATATGGCTCATATCTCAAAATATATAGCACATGCCTAATCTATGACATTTCTCTTTTTTTTAATTTATTCATTTGTATATGTTATACATCATTGTTCATTTTCAAACAATGTTTACTTTTTATTTCCTCCAGATGTAGGCCTCATAGAATTTTCTCCACCAATTCCCCCGTACACCATCACCACAGTCCCCTTGCACTCCCTCTCTCTCCCCATCCACTCCAGGATTTCTCTGGTTTATAAATGTCTGTTTGTTTTTTTTTGTTTTGTATTAGTGTTATTTTTTCCTCTGATGTCTTATTTGGTTCCTCTATATTTCTCCTACAAGTGAAACCATCCAGTATTTTTCTTTTTCCTTCTGACTTATTCCACGGAGCATAATCCCTTTTAGCTTTATCCCTGTTGCTGCAAATGGCATTAGTTTATCTTTTCGATTGCTGAATAGTATTCCATTATGTATATATACCATATCTTCTTGATCCAGTCATCTATTTTTGAGCATTTGGGTTGTTACCAGATTTTAACTATTATAAATAGTGCTGCAATAAATATAGGGGTACAGGTATTCTTTCAAATCATTATTTTTGTGTCCTTTGGGTGGATCTCTAGGGGTGGAATTGCTGGGTCATTTTTTAGCTCCATTTTTGGTTGACTGAGGAAACTTCATACAGCTTTCCATAGTGATTGGACCAGTTTGCACTCTTACCAGAAATGTAGGAGAGTTCCTTTTCCACCAAATCCTCACCAACATTTGTTGTTGCTAGTTTTTTTTTTTTGATATGGGACATTCTTACTGGTGTAAGGTGGTATCTCATTGTGATTTTGATTTGCATTTCCCTGATTCTAAGGAATGTTTAACATTTTTTCATATGCCTGTTGACCATTTGCATCTGCTCTTCAGAGAAGTGTCTTTTAAGTTTTCTGCCCATGTCTTGACTGGATTGTTTGCTTTGATTTTGCTGAGTCTTATGAGCTCTTTGTGTATCTTTGTGATCAGTCCCTTATAGATTATTTTCCCAATCAGTAGGGTGTCTCTTTGTTTTGGTTAATGTCTCTTTTGTCTTACAGAAACTTTTCAGCTTGAAGTAACCCAGGTGTTTATCTTTTCCTTCACTTTCTTTGCTTTGGGTGATGAGTCTTTAAAGGTGTTACTGAGATATATGTCTTGTAGTGTTTTACCTATATTTTATTCTACATATTTTTTATGTTTTAAAGTCTATGTCCAGATCTTTTATACATTTCAAGTTGATTTTTGTGCATGGTGTGAGGTAGTAGAATGGCCTTTCAATCTATATTTCCTCTACTTTCCATTTCTCATCTATTGATCTAGGACATCCATTCCTAAGCATTCAATTTCAAAGATCTTCTAACTTTAATGCTGACCAAGCTTAAACACTCAATAAGGTTAAAATCTCAAGACCTTATTCTTAAGACTTTAACACAACTCAAGTTATCATGCAGTCTTCTCCAACTCACTAAAGATAAATACTTCTTTCCCACAGGAATGCTATTTTCTAAAATGTTAAGTTTAAAAATATCCATACTTTCTCATGACCTTAAGACCAATTCATTTCTCCTTAAAAAAAAATGCTTGTATTTATTCATGCATCCATTTATTCATTCTATCATTGAATATTAAATCCATGTGCTTCTATTTCCTTTTCTTTTTTTCTTTTAAAGATTTATTTATTTGTTTGTTTGTTTGTTTGTTTGTTTATATATGTGTTTATTTATACACGCACTGGGTAAAGTCAGAAGCATGGGAGGGTGAGAGAATTCACCAGAGCCAGAACGGGGAACAGAACAGGCAGACTGATGAAATTATTTACACTGCTGAGGGGAGCAGCGGGCATGGCAGGAGAGGTCTGTTGCACCACGTGGGACCCTTGCCATTGGCTGGGGATGGAAATGGCACTGCAGAGGCTGTGGGCAGCTTCACAACCTAGCGCTCAACCGCTGCGTCACCAGGGGAGGCCCTTCTATTTCCTTTTCAATAGTGTCTGTAAGTGGGCCTTCCTGGCAGCGCAGGGGTTATAGACACAGTGATGTCAAGCTCCATGCAGGTTTTGTGGATTCTACATCCACTCCAGACCAAAACCATCAAGACACTGGGAATGACAAATCCCATCATCACCAAAGGGAGAGTTGCTGGGAACTGAGGGTGGAGTTAACCAGCCAGGTTTGGTATAAAACCAAACCTGTGGGCGTAGGGGTCTCTTTCTTGGCCTCACAGCTACGGCTATTCGCTTTTTGCCAGCTCTCAGTGTGCCATTGGGATTCCAGGTCTGTGGAACTGGTAGGATACATTCACAAATTTATCTCCCTCTTTTTCTCCCTGAGATATTCATTTCCCCTTCTTTTGTAAATAAACCCTTTATTAACCTCTGTGTGTGCCCACAGTTGAGTATGAATAAGTCCCTTTTAAGCCTGCGGGTGAGGACCCACAGTCAGGCAAATCATTTCATATCAGGGTTGCCTGTCACACTATCACTAGCAACAGAAGCACTAATTCTCTCTTTAGCCCGGGAGCTAACCCACATGGCACAACAGGCCTTTTCTGTCTCAGTTGTTGCTCCACTCAGCAGTGTATTTCAGTAGATCTACCTGTTCTGTTCCCCACTCTGTTTCTGGTGAATCCTCTCATCCCTCGCACCTCTGGACTGTACCCCAGCTCTTGTATGCATAAATAAATAAATCTTTAAAAAAATGGTGTCTGAGGGATTGAGCAAATCTCTGCCTTCATGAACGTTGCATTTGAGTGAGTGGAAAATAAGCAAATCAAATATAACACTGAGTGGATGGTAAAGGAAAATAAGAAAAAGTAGGAAATAAAGAATGTCCTTCATTGGAAGAGGAGTGTCAAGTCGGACCTCCCTGGTGGCCTAGGGCTTAAGTCTCAGCACTATCACTCCTATGGCCTGAGTTCAATCTTCGGGCCTATACCCCAGTACTTCTATGCAAAAATAAAAAGAAAAAAAAATCTTAAAAAATATATAAAACTGGGCCTCCCTGGTGGCGCAGAGGTTGAGCGCTGGGTTGTGAAGCTGCCCGCAGCCTCTGCAGTACCGGTTCTATACCTGGCCGCCTGGTGAGTGTCCCACATGGTGTGCAGACCTCTCCTGCCGCCCGCTGCTCCCCTCAGCAGTGTACTTCGTCACTCTGCTTGTTCTACTCTTCGCTCTGGCTCTGGTGATTTCTCTCACCCTCCCGCATCTCTGACTGTACCCAGTGTTTGTATAAATAAAAAAATAAATCTTAAAATATATATATATATATATATATATATATATATATATAAAACAAGGAGTATCAAGTGTTCCATCTGGGTCAATCCATTCAAAGAATGTCTTTGCTTGCATTCTCTGTCATGTGCTCTAGGTCTCATCTCATTCTTATGGATTCTGTCACAACTGTAATCACTCATCATGTGTTTAGTAGCCACTTCTGTCACAAGCATGCAAGTTCTAAGTGACCTCTGTCACAAATGCTTCATTTGCCCATATCGCACCAGTTAATCTAATGTTACTAAACAGACCACTTACTGCATATTTATTTTACAAATTAAGCCTTAAAATTTAATTCAAAATTCCTTTCATTATTCAAATTCTAAGAGTGTATAACCCATGCCATACAAGCTTATATTTTATATTGTTTTGTTCCATTTGAGCTCCCTCCATGGTACATTGACATCTTTCTTTTCTAATCTAATTGTAAACAATTTGATGACTTAAAACAGTTACCACTACTATACATTTGTATGCCTGACAAGTTCTGTCATTATCACTTGAAAGGCAAGTGATAGTAAAAATCCTGAACACAAAACAAATAGAAAAAAGAAATTGGAGTTCACCTTCTGAAATATTTCCAGTAGATGATAGCGGCAAGCAAAATTTTGGAAGCATGTGATGAGTTCTGTCATGAATAAAGAAATTTTCCTGGGGTCTCTCCAGGATACAGTATCTATGAAGACAGAGAAAAGTAGGCCAGGTGACTTGATTTTGTTTCATGAGTGTGTGTATGTATCCTTATCTATCTATCTATCTATCTATCTATCTATCTATCTATCTATCTATCTATCTATCTACCTATCTATTGATTGATCGATCATGTATCTTGACATGTTTTCGGGGAAGTACTTATAAACCTGCATTAACTCATTTCGCACTAAGGAAACAAAGAATCTGACAAAGGGTGAACTAATGGGACAGCTTATCAGAACTGCCAGAGATGGCACAAGGGTCACATTATAGAAATGTCTTTCTCCTGCTCAAGAGAGCATCATCGAGAAAAAGGACTTAGAGTTGATTGGTTGAGAAACTGAGAACAACACTCAAAATGTCAAATGAATTTAATAGAAAACTGAATCAATCATTTGTCTTTAAATGCTGTATGATAAGGTGGTTCCCTGTATTAGGTTGTTTTAAGGTTTGGCATACTTTTAACTGTAAAGTGCGATACTTATCCTGAAAATATTTTTTTTTTTAAATTGGAAAGAAATATGTGTTTCTATAGAACAGATAAAATAAAATGTAAAATACATTGCTAGCACCAAAATCTCTCACAAATTATTCTTTCATTGAGCTTATCCAGAGTTATTCAGTGGTGGCTTCACAAATCCCTGTGTGAGACTAAAAGACACCAACATGGAGTCGATGAGTAAAAAGAGACAAAGTCCTTCTCCACATGGGTTCTGTGAACAGCATCATACTTCAGGTTTGCAGGTGAATAGCTGTCTGCAGAGGCTCCTGAAGAATCACTGACCAACACTGACCCTGGCTTTTCTGGAGAGAGATCAAGAGACCTAGATCCTCACTCTATGTGTCTCCTTCAGTATCCACCTCATTCTTTTAAATGTTCATTCTAACCAATCTCTCTCTCTCTCTCTCTCTCTCTCTCTCTCTCTCCCCACCTCCACCCCAACCTCTTATTCTCTCTCTCTCACACACACATATCACCTTTTTCTATTTTCATTATGCCAGTTAATTGTTATGTTAAATAGTGACAGTGTCATGTCAGTAAATAGTGATGATATCATAAAATATAAGATATAATTTGCTAAGAAGAGCCAAGGAGTTAATGCCAGTGAGAAAGTACCTTATTAAATGAGTAGCATGTTTCTGCCACAAAATTTTAAACATAAAAATTTTCAACTCACACCATATTGGAGGTGGCACAGGAAAAGCCTAAGTCACAAGTGACAAGGGAGATCTTTAAACTGTTTCAGAGAATTTTCTGGACATTGTGGTCTCAGTTTTATTGAATCTAAACAAGAGCAACATCCTCTAGGTACAACATGGATACATAGATACCAGTTTTTAGCTAAAGTATTTCTGCTTTTTTCAACACTCATAGATTTTCAGAGCTAAGAGACAACCGGAAGTTACAGGGAAAATTGTTATTTTTGTTTAACTTTGCTTTAGTGACGCTGGCAATCTCCTTTACCACCTACCATGAATTAAATTGTCAGCTGACAAGACAAATTCTCATGCTACTAGCCCCTCAATGTTTCCTGAAAATTCCATTTATTTTTTTTTCCCCTGGATGGGATCTGAGGTTGTTTCTCTTCCATACAAAACATATCTCGCAGTCCTCTACAAACCCTTCCATGGCCTTTGAATTTCCGACTCATTCACCACCTCTGCAGGTCTGGATGATGATGACCTTGGGTTTATCCTTCAGAAGAGAACAGTTGCGGATGTTGAATATCTGGAAGATGGTGTCTTGAGGTAGCATGTCCGGGTTTTCCTCACCATGCTTGGTCCCACAGATTCCTTCCAGGGAACCATGAGACATGAATACCAAGAACGTGAACACCAAGAGCACCAACAACGTGCCTGCCCTGGTGCTCAGGGTGGCCTGCGAACTCCTGCAGCACATCTTCCATAGCCTGGCACACTCCCGAGTCTTACTGACTAGAACCAGCTTTCTACTTAAACTGTCCTGCTATTTATCAGGCTTGGTCTCATTCCATCTCTAGTGTCCTGGCTGAGGTTCTCCACACTGTGCTGCTCAGTGGTGAGAGTGGATTTCTTGTGCTTTATATCATGAACCGGAGTTTCAACTTCCCACCTGCTGGCATTATGCAAACTGTACTCTTGATCTTGCATTTGCCTACTGGCAAGTAGTATTTTCCATTTCAATTTTCCTCATTTCTCCAATTATTAAATGAGATCCTTAAGTCCTAAATGGAGCATCCCCCCTCCCTTCTAAAGTCCTCCCCGCCATGTTTAGAATAAAATCAACTTCTGCTGCCTCCTCTCTCTCTCCTCACACTGGGCTTCTGTGCTAGTTTAAGATGCATTTGAGATTTGTCACTGGAGTTACCCCTGCTTGGGATGCCCTCTCTGCACATCTTTCCAGAACAGCCTTGTTGCTGACTCATGCATCAGCACCTGTCTGATCTCCGCAAACAGGCTCATATTGGCCGTCCCCATCAAATGTTATCACTCCCCTCTCACAAGTTTGCTCTATGTGTTTTTATTCTTTTCACTTTTACAGAAACACAGAGATACACATGTCTGAAATTGTGTGTTTTGCTTATTTTGATTGCCTTTTCTCAAGTAAACCAAGATCAATGGGAGTTAGGAACTTTCTGTCTCATTGATGGACCAGGAATACACCACAGAAAAAGCAGGATCTGGCTAAACATTCATTACCTTTGAATTTTCTGAGAAGTGTTGAGGCTAAATCCTACTCATCTCACTTTGCAACTAAGATTTATGCAGGTACACATGCCTATCCTTTTTTGTCCTTTATGGAGTTAAGGATGTTGGAAGTCCAAAAGTGACATAGATTCACCCTCTGTATATGTCCATTTTATAAACACGGCCTGGCCTGAGACTGTTTCAGTTCTTATCAATGGTATGAAGCTACCTTGTGGCAGGAGGATGTGCTGAATATGCACTTGTGAGGTGGGGAATCACCTTGGCTGTGAGGTGCCCTTTCACTTCCACTGTGTAGTCAAGGCTCTCAAGCAGCCCCCACATGCCTTTAATGTCGTGCTCTGCCCCATCCCTGTGAACAAGCTGGTCAAACTCTGTATCACATATGATGAGAGCCAGACGTGAGCAGCCCATTTTCCCCTTTATTGGGTAGATTTGCAGAATGGGTAGTTGTAGACTGAAGTTACTTCATCTTTGTGAAACCCTCCTACACCAATTAGTGTTGCTCTGTCAAGGGTTCATGGAGCTGCCCTCTCCCGTATCCAGTAGCATAAAGTCTACCTTCTCTCCCTCTTTATAATGGATTGAGTAGACATAGGATACGTGTGGGTGGAAAGTGAAATTTTGGGAGCCCAGGCTAAGACCTAGTACATATCTGGATGGTTTACTTAACCATCGATTTAGAAAATGTTAGAAAAATATCTAACTTCCTCTTTTCCTCTCTCCACCTATTCAAATATTTCTTAGCATTCTAGATGCAGACCAAATTTTATAAAAAAAAAAAAAAAAAGAAGAAGAAAGAAAGAAAAACAGGAACATTTGCCAGTGGCACCAGCTAAAGTCAAAGACACTTTCCCTGGTACTGTTTTAAACCTATCGACATAAGAGGTTTATAGACAGTAATTATATTTTTATTTTATTTTTTTAATTTTGTTAAAGATTTATTTATTTGTTTGTTTGTTTGTTTGTTTATTTATTTATACAAGCACTGGGTACAATCAGAAGCGCAGGAGGGTGAGAGAATTCACCAGAGCCTTAGGGGAAAACAGAGCAGGCCGACTGATGAAGTACACAGCCAAGGGGAGTAGCAGGCGGCAGGAGAGGTCTGTGCGCCATGTAGGACACTCGCCTGACAGCCGGGGATGGAAGTGGCGCTGCAGAGGCTGCGGGCAGCTTCACAACCCAGCGCTGAACTGCTGCGCCACTGGGGAGGCCCTATTTTTATTTTTTTTGAAGATTTATTTTATTTATACAAGAGCTGCAAGATAGGCAAGATGCTGGGAGGATGAGAAGATTCACCAGAGACAGAGCGAGGAACAGACCAGGTAGACTGACGAAAAACTCTGCTGAGAGGAGCAGCAGGCAAGACAGGAGAATTCTGCCGCTCCATGTGGGTTGCTCTAAGGCTGGTGGGGATTGAACCGGCACCGCAGAGGCTGCGGACAGGGTCACTGTGCTGCGCTCAACCACCTGTGCCACCACGGAGGCCCCAACAGTAATTTTTTTTTGACTACCCCGTGTTCCTAGGCTTTTCCACTAGGATGTAAGTAGTTACTACTCAGCCATGTTGTCTTATAATAATATTTTGAGTCCATCCTACAGTTAAAAAGATCATAAATCCTTAAAAAAATGAGAACAAATAAATGCACAAAGTCAGATATTTGCATTTTCTCATGGGATAGAAAAGAGAATGAAATCTGTGTGAAGTCTCCTGATTCCTCCTTGCTTAAAGCATCTCTGAAAAAGACCATCCCCGACCCCACCACCAGTTATTCCTTCTCTATCAATGTGTTATTAGTGAAAACAATTGTTTTTCTTTCTCTACTTCATGACAGAACACGTTACCTCTCCTGCCCTTTTCTCACTCACTCTTAGGACTTCCCCATGAGGACAAAGCTTCATGGCTTCTGTAGATTTCACTGATTCAGGTGACCCGGCCATGAGCTCTGGAGAAACTGCAGGATACATACATAATAAAAATTACCACAGCAGCTTCTCTGATTATTAACCCAATGAGCAGATAAGAATATTAACAGAAAGGGAAATTCTGGAAAGAAGATTTCTTAACATGTAGGGCTGTAGTTGTAGCTGATTTATAGTACAAGAAGAAATGTACCATGATTAGGAAAGCAGGGAGAAGTGTCTATAGAGAAAGCAGAAATAGCCCCCCCAAAAAATGTAATATCGCCAAAATGCAATCATACATTCTGATATTTCTAAGAACAAAAAATTTGATGACATGGGGTTTAATATAAACTTGAAGTAGCAGAAAGTTTTATTTTTCCAGTAATTTTACTCTAGAATACTCACTCACCCATATGGACTGCCTGTTGTCTCTGAGCAAAAGTATACTGAATAAATAATTGTCATTAGAAATATAATTGAGCCATATGTTAAACTCTATTATTTTTGAAAGACTTATTCATTTATACATACAAGCACTGGGGTACAGGACAGAGGTGCGGGGTGTAAGGGTGAAGGGATTCAACAGAGACAGAGTGGGGAACAGAATAGTCAGACTGACAAAATACACTGCTGATGGGAGGCGCAGGTGAGACAGGAGAGGTCTGCTGCACCATGAGGGTAGCTCCCTGGCAGGCTGGGGGAAAAAAATCCTGCTGCAGAGGCTGCTGATATCTTCATAGTGCTGTGCTTAACCCCTTGAGCCACAAGGGAGGCCCCTACTTTAAATTTGAAATTGTCTTATGTCCCCATAAAAAGAAAACAAACAAATAATATTAATGTAATCATATATTTGTTCTACATGATACATCAAATATTATGTTAATACCCTCATATGTTAATAGCCCCAATTCAAGTACTTATAGTCACACTGGCTACCCAATTGTGATTCCTAATTCACACAACACATCAGATACAAACACCAACACTAATACTGAATCCTACACAAACCAGCGATTCTATTTTTAGCAACCTCAGCCTGAACTGTAACCTTCCCACAAGAGATGAACTTCCCTGTGTCTTCATCCTGTGGGGCAGAGAGCTATGTAAAGGAGAAACGCTGTCTAGTAACCAGAGCTCGCTACCCTCGGTGAAAGGGACACTTTTATTTCAGAGACTCTTAACATACTCTGAAGTCCTTGTCCCAAATTGCTGAACAAACAGCCGTATTTTCAACCCATGTTTAAAATTTGAGGAAATAATTTCTCCCTCTTGGAAAAGTTTGCTTGTGATGCATCCTGACCTAATCACTAGATAAATGTACGAGTATCCGGCAGGGGCTGTCCTCATCTGACTGAGGTTGTGCAAGAGAGGGGGAAAGCCCAGAGCCCTCCCTTGGAGGAGGAGGAGGAAGTCACAAGTAGAAATTGAAAAATGATTGTACCAAGAGCGAATGAAACCAAAGTTTTGTTCATGAGAAGAAACCAAAATGTGCAGTTACAATATCATCCTATATAAAAGTTTGTTCCTATAGTTCATAGTTTTCTACTTATTTATTCCCATGTGTTTTTAAATAATGTTTTTTTTAATAAGTGACTTTCTAAAAAGTGATGCTAAGAGCATGAAACCTAAAAGCTGTACAGATGCAGGAAATTTTGAAGCTTTAAGATACCACCATTTCTGAATATTTCTTTTTATTGATTATATTGTGACCATGATTTCCCTTCTCATTCCAGAAGATACTGCCAGCATGAAGCAATACAGGATCCTGGAATACTCCTGGCCAGAGTAATGTGTTCCAACTGAAAGTCTCTCCTTTCCTTGCGGTTTTTGCTATTGGTGAACTCTAAAATTTAACAAATATTTTCTCCTAGTACATTATAAATATAGTGTTTGCAGATAAAATTGGAAATACAATAGGATTCTTCTCTTATATATGAAAGTAAAATTAGCAGGAACATGAATCCTTAAATTTTAAGACAATTAATATGGTACAGCTTGCTGTCCTATAGGAACTCCTATTAGCCTGGTAGCGCATCAGAAAGAAGAAAATCAGGAATGTACATAAATTTTTTGGTACCTGAGTCTTAACTGTTAGGTAATGAAATGATCAGGAAAATCATGAAATGGATACAAAAGCTAATGATTGACCTGGGAGAAGGCAGAGTCCTCTCACCTGAATTCAAGTGGTTAGCTCTCTCACTAAGGAGCATCAGCCAGCACAGAGTATACATAGAGATGCAAGTTTGTTAAGATAAGCAAATACCTTTGATGACTGCCCACCCCATTCAGTGCATATGATGTTCTAAACTCTCAGAAGTATATTCACATCAAAGGCCTGGCCAGGTGTTTTCATATTCTACTGACCAGCACACCCCACTTCCTGGCCTCCTGGCCCACAATCATGTTGGTGTCCTGGGGTCACTCTGGAGGATACATGTGCAGGCAGAGCTGAGGGAGCCGCTGGACATGTCACAGAATGTCACCTCTCCCCCTGTCTGCCATGATTCTGTAGCCGGCTAGGATATTTCAGTTTAGTTCAATGTTTGTGCTGATTGGTGGGGTTTTTAAAGCTTTGAATTTCCCTCTACGTCAGTTCTGATCACCATATGCTGAATTATTTCTGACTTAAAAAAAATCCAATTTTCCTCAACCCTAACCAAACTTTAAGACAAAGCAGTGAGGGGCCTCCCTGGTGGCACAAGGAGTTGAGCATTAGCACTATGCAGCTATCCACAATTACCACAGCATGAGTTCAATTCCCAGCCAGGGAGGTGACCCACAAGGCACAGCAGACCACTCCTGTCTCACCCACTGCTCCCTTCAGCAGTGTATTTCAGTAGAGCAAAATAGATGCTAGAAAATTGAGAAAAATTGAGAAAACCATTGTGAAAACCTTCTGTCCAGGTGGAATTGTTGGCACATCGGATGATTTGTAGGAAGTCATTCACTCCTCTATACGTTGGACGCCAAATCTGTTATAGGACAGGGAGAGGGGCAGCCCAAACCCCGCAAACCTGCCTATTCTAAATGGGTTCTGCCATCCGCCGCATCAACACAAACATATGAGACTTTAATGGGAAGGAACTTTAATAAAACTAGGAAACAACACAGGTAAGGCAGAGTCTAGTTTCTAAACGAAGCACCCAAAGTTACCCGTCCCCTCGTGGGTAAAAGTCCATCCATATGGGAATGGCGCAGAGCAAGGCCACAAAGCCTGCCACAAGTCTAAAGCATCTTCCAGTGGGGACCCACAGAAAAGGGTCACAAACAACCAGACAAGCACCGAAGGAAAAGAGCAAAATCAACATCAAGATAAAAGCTGCCATTGTCACCTCCCCACGGGTCTCACCCACAGCTGTGTCACCCAGTCTACGACCAAAAGACAAGCGCAGTTTCTTCAAGTGTCTCTAGGCTCCATGCGCCTCCTCCAGGTCTCCTGGCTCCATCCTGCTTCCTTCTTTCCTCAGTCTCTTCTGCAGCTTCTTCTCTCCCTGCTCAGCTCCACCCTCCCTTGGGTGGGGCAGGGAATCTCCCCCTTTCCTGGGGACCACCCTGTTACATCCGTGGACAAAAAAATAAGAGACCAGTGACAGGTTCTCATCTTTAAGGTTTCACAAAGACAGGGATTCACCTTCACTTTTACTGGGTTATGATTAGAAAGGGCTCTTGAGCCTGTTTCTCCCAGTGCTTTCTTTTCTAATGGTGCTGAGTGCTGGGTGTCTGGGTACAACTAGTTAATATTAACAACTAAGCCCCCATTATTTACCCAGCAGGCAGGTTTGGGATACATAAGGGAATGAATAAGGATGCCTTGGCAGAGAAGCACAGGCCAGACAGTCTCCTGTGTCAAGGGCCAGAGCCTGAGACCAGACATTCCCACAGAAAACTGGTGCAAACTGGAGCCCCAAGTCAGAAAGCGTGTGAAAATAGTGTGAAAGAGAGCCTCAAATCCTCCTTAGTGCGCAGATTTCTCCTTTCTCACCAGCTTCTTTTATCAGTGTGTTTCAATCAATCCACCTGTTCTTTTCCTCACTCTGTCTCTCTCTTATGAATTCTTTCACCCTGATACCTCTGGCCTCACCCTGGTCTTCTCCCCACAACTCTGGGTTTCCCCCAAACTCAGCAGCACTGATGCACACAGGGACCTGATCTTCATGCAACATGCCCTGCAGTTCACAGGCGTCATGTGCTAATCGTTTCATGTTTGCTGACTGTGCTGTCCTGCCAAAAAGGCGGTAACAAATAGTTGCCTGGGATAAATAAAAATTATTTTGTTTCCCTGAAATGTTCTAGGAATGATAGAAACACATCATTTCTGTCATATGGACTCTGGGATTTTGGATAAATCACTTAGCACATTATTGGCATCTTCTCTACTGAATCCAAATCCTTAGAAGTCAGGGGCCTGCTACAATTGGCATCTGTATCCCTGAAGCAGAGAGCCCTGAAAAAAGTTTCTTGAAAGGAAGATGGTGTTGTCAGCCAGTTGAGCATTTATGGATAGAGACTAAGGACAACAAATCCATTGCCAATTCAACTTCACTCCTCACTTCCTAGACTAGTAAAGGAAAACCATGACAACCATGCATTTTTATTTCCTATTTATTGAAGCTTTGAAAAAAATTTCTCTTGCAGACACATTTCCAAAAGCAGGAACAGCACGACAGAACTCCTGGCTCCCTAGAGGAAAAGGAAATAAAGCAAACAAAAATGAAATTGTGCACTAGAACAGTGAAGGCTGTGAAATCACTGTCCATGGGGAGATGCACACTCACTGAAAGGAAGGCATATCATCCCATGTCTACATGGTGCTCAGGTGAGGGGAAGGGGAGGAACACCTGACACTCACTGTCATCATCTCACAGCCGCCTCTCACTCCACATCAGCTGACCTGGGTGGGTCCCAGAGCTCTGGAGAACTGCGGGCAGGCGCCATGTGCTGGCAGCCTCCTCTAGTGTCCCTGCTCATTACTCAGGGACCTGGATACCTGGCGCAGGTGAGACTCAGTGCTCCCCTCCCAACCTCACCATCCACCACGCACCCCTGTCCATAGACACTGCTGTGACTTACTCATTTAGTGTCCTGGAAAGAGGTAGAAACGTCTTGTCAAAGTCACTCTTTCGGCGGTGGGCATCTGTGCCCTACTTGCTGGCTGCTCAAATGAGAATCGAACCTAGATGGGAAAGATAAGCTGTAGATTTTTTTTTTCCTTGAGTGGAAGAATCTTCAGCTCAGCTAGAAAGACTATACAGAGTATACAGAAGAGTAAATAATGAAAGCCAAAGGGCCATACGGCTGTTAAAATCATAGTAATGTGCATGTGAAAAAATGGACTGAACTCCAGACTTCCAAAATCCTCTGCTGGACAGGACTGCTGTGGACACTGGCAAATTAGAGTCTACTTGCTTATTGATTCAGGGCAGGAGGGAAGTTAAAATAATGTTTTTTGTTTTTTGTTTTTTTTTAAGCGTTGTTTATCAGATCGTTATAGGTTGGATGGGTTTCTGTTTTGCCATCTTACCAAAGGGCATTTTTAGAGCTGCTCCCTATGTTTGTAGTTGCAATAGCCAAACATCCAGAGAAGTAGAAGAATCCCGATGCCTACCTTTCGAAAAATTTCCTCCAGGTCATGGCACCAGGCGTATTCTTGAAAATGTTCGATGAGTCTCATAATAAAAAGAGAGCCATGGATGGGAGATCTCCAGGACACATTATCTGTGAATGAAGCATTTTGCAAATCTCATGTGAGCCTCTTGCCTGGCCATAGAGCTGGAGGCACTAGGGTTTCCACTCTAGCTGAGCAGACTGCTCATATTATGCTGTTGACATGCTTTTTCTGTACACTACATACCTGCCATTTTTAATGAATATATCTAAGTGATTGTATTTGTAATGCTAGGCAACAATTTTATTTTTCTGAAACCTAACATTTTTTTTTTTTTAGAGTTAAGATTGGTTTACACCATTTTACTAAAAGTTATAGGATCACACTTCTTCACGTGTATGTCACCACAACACATCCACACCAAGGTACAAACAGTTTTCCACCACAGGCCAACAGGCCCCCTCCACACAATATTAAGTCCATGTGAAGGGTGATTTATGTAATGCAGACATTAAGATGGATAGTCTCTGAGTTCAAGGAGGTATCCATATAGCAGAGAGGGAGAGAAGGAAGAACGGCGAAAGGGATTTGACCTGGCCTTGGGGAAGAAATATCTGATTCTGGATCCCTACAGTGCTACTTCCTGACTCTGATATAAGTTAATTTATACATACAGAATGCAATGTTCTCTAATACAAGAGTAGGTGAATAATTTCTGCAGCAAAGACATAAATGAAGATTAGCTAATACATTCCATGTGTCTAAGAAAATAGAATAGGTAATACCCAACTATACAGAGTAATTGACATGTTTTCAGCTTACATTCTTTATAAGAAATTTAGTTAAAATCAAATACTAAAAATCACAGGCATTTAGACACAATGTTAACTAAATGTGAAAATGGCACCAAGAGTCAAAAAATGCAAACTTAGAATATGTTTAAAAAAGAAAGGTGGCGGGCCTCCCCCAGTGGCACAGTGGTTGAGTGCTGGGCTGCAAAGCTGCCCGCAGCCTCTGCAGCTCTGGTTCGATCCCCGGCCACTGGTGAGGGTCCCACATGGCGCACAGATCTCTCCTGCCATGCCCACTGCTCCCCTCAGCAGTATATTTCATCAGTCTGCCTGTTCTGTTCCCTGATCTGGTTCTGGTGAATTCTCTCACCCTCCTGTGCTTCTGACTATACCCAGTGCTTATATAAATAAATAAATAAATCCTTAAAGGAAAAAAATAGAAAAAAAAGAAAGGTGGCTTATATAAATAAATAAATAAATCCTTAAAGGAAAAAAATAGAAAAAAAAGAAAGGTGGCATTCCACTGGAAGACAAATCAGTGTTAACGAAGAGTAATATTAAAGAATATGACATTATATGAAATAGTAGAAACACAGTAGTCATGAAATCTTTTAAAATTATGCAAAGAAATAAGAAAAATGTGACATCAACCATTGTGCATTTAAATATGCCTACATGTTTTAACCTAACTTTTCAGCCAGTAATCGGGGTCATTAAATAGATAATGTTAATAGATTAAAATTCTCCTTGAAACTGCAGAGTAAGACACAGGCAGATATCCCTCAAGTTCTTTTACATTTAAAAGACATAGATGTTTATTTTTCTTCAGGGAAGCACTATAGTGTAGCTGAGATTAACTTGGAGAATATGGTTTGCTATCAGAAACTGAAAATAACAAAGATCTTACATTGATGATGCTCACAGAATTGTCCTGTGTAGACAAAGATTACCTGGTGTGGAAGAGCAGAAAGCAATAAAATCTTTCTCTACATGGGCTTTCTTAATAGCATCATCCTCAAAGTCTTCAAGAGACAGTGAAGAGATTTCCTCAGAAGGTCCTGCTGAATCTTTTACCCAGGCCACTCCTTGTCCCTCTGGAAAGAAGATGCATATTCTTGTTAGTACCAGCCACCAAGGGAACTACTTTCTCCATGACACCTCTATCCAGTCAAATTTATTGATTTATCTGTCACACTTTTTCAACCATATGCACTTAGGCATATTTCAGAAAATTTCTTGTTAACAACTCCTGTCTTTCTCCATCCTCAAATGAGTCCCAACGATGCCCTAAAATATGAGTCTAAATAATTAATATGGTACTGTTTAGTTAGTTGAAAATGTAACAAGTATTTAAGAACAAGTCATAATTCACAGAAATTTTGGGGCAGTAGGTGTTATTTGATGTTGAGGAACAGACCCAAAGAAACTGAAAAATATTGGATACATGAAATAAGGTCAAAACATGGCTATCTTGTGTTCTAAGACATATCAGCACTCACCACCACGGCACGCCTGGATGATGATCACCTTGGGCTTATTCATCAAATTTGGACATTGATTAGCGTTTAAGGCTCGAAAGACGGTGTTGAGATCTAATACATCTGGGGATTCTTGAGAGCATTTTGTCCCACAAATGCCTTCCCGAACACCATGAGACATGAACACCACGAAAGTGCTGTCTGAGGTCCGGTGCTCTGGGCGAGCAGCAAAAGTCAACAACTCTGTCTTCATGTTCTGGAAGAGAGCAGATCACTGGTCTCCCATGTGACCCCTCGTCATGGCACTGTGGGCATCCAGTAGGGAGACACTTCAAGAATTCCTATCTCATTTCAAATCAATGGAATGCAAAATATAATTTAAATTTAAATTTGGATAAGGTGCAGAAAAGGGTTATTGGTTGCTATTCAGGGATTTTGAGTAGAGAGAAATGGACATTACTGAATGTTTTACCAGACTCTTGCGAAAACCCCGCATGCTTAAAAGAATGATGGTAGCAGAAGCCTCCTCCAAGGGAGAACTTCCATTTCAGACTATCAGAATATATATACTTATGAGTCTACAATGAGGATTTCTCAGATTCTTTAGACATAGGAAGGATATGGCTCTGTCCCTACATTAGGATAGACCATACCGAAGCAGTGAGATTTTCTTTCACATCCACACTGTACCCCAGACTTTCCAGCAGTCTCTTCATGCCTTTGATGTCAACATCAGCTCCATTTCTCTTGGAAAGATGGTCAAACTCTGTGTTGCAGATGATGAGGGCAAGACGTGTGCGGACTGCCCTTTCCTTTATTGGATATATCTGTAGGAGATGCAGGGGGGATGAATAGTCTTGTTCTCTTTAATTCAGCCTTAATCCTGTGGGTTCAGAGCTCCTAACCCCTTAGTCCTACCCAGACACCACATCCCATGAACCAGAGATAAACACAGGGATGATGAGCGAGTCCTGCCCTAGGGCTGGGGATGGAGAGTATAAGCCCAATGGCAGCCGCGCACATGATGTAATGAGTTTTGACAGGACTGTGAGATGAAGAAACTTTGAAACTAGAATGACTGAAATTTAAAACTAAGTCCCCACTTACTGGGTAGTCTAAAGTATTTTATAATTGATCCTTACTTTCATGATGTCTAACATAGGTTATTTTGGTAAGTAAAGCAGGTTATTAATTGCAACAGGCTTAAAATAGAATCTGACTTAGAGTTAGAATTCAATAGATGACATTGTAATTGTTCCCATTATTTTCTCAGATAATTGATCAGGCTAGGAACTCTTTACTAATCCTGGGAATCTACAAGATAGAAATCCTTTGTGTAAGGTAAAAGTCAAATTTTTTTTCAGAGCCTCTCAAGGTCACTGGCTCTAAACCATCAACACAGCAATTGAGAGTCCTTTAGAGATCTTTCACCCAGATCCTTGTGTCCAGAGCACAGCACCTCTGCTTCCTTTTCTTTCATTATCTTTTCGGCAATTTCACGGGGGCAAAGCCTGAGGCTTTCTCCTGGACCTGAGGCTGTGAGTGTAGCTGGATAGTCTTGCATTACCTGCAGAGCTGCAAGAGACAAGAAAATTTCTGAACAGTAGAATACCTGAGAATTCCTCTTGGTGCTCACACAGCATACCTGTGGCTGCAGCCACAGAGGAGGGAACGCATCCTCAGAAGGACAGCTCTGGGCTAGACATTAACACTTTGACTGAGTCACTGCTAATGGAACAGTCTCACTCCAGAAGAGATTTCCATTGGTGTGATACAAGGACCTACCTTCATCTCATAGAATCAACATTTTTACACATAGTTTAGATTAAAAATAGAAAGTTTTTTTCTTCCAAGGTTATACCTGATAAAATTTCTCAGAAAAAAATTGTAATTTTATTGATTATATTTGATATAAATCATTTCATATAAATATATTTCAAATGATTAAAATCTAGAATAAAATTTAATGGAGGTAGGCATTAATTAGTAATATTTTCAAAAGATATGTGTTTATTTTTTAAGTATATGATTAGGGATATGAGAGAGCAAGGAATGACAGTGACAATCAAGGTTCTCAATCATTGCACAGATTCGTAAGGAAGAGTCCCCACAGTAGTGTGCACTAGAACAGACAAGTCAACACTCTCCAATAATGTGATGGATTCATTAAAGAAATTAATGTAATTTCCATCTGTTCCAAGATAGAAAAGTTTTCTTCATATTTGGAGATTCCTTCAAAAAGCTCAACTATCCTAACAAGAATATCATATTCAATCTTGAGGAACATTAAAGAAAATATATTCAATATATATTCAAATATGTAAACCAAGGCACCGTGAAGTATGTTGACTATGGAGAAAGTAAGAAATAATTAGAATGGAGATATTTGGAAAAAAACCATAGAAATCTTCATCATATAGAAGAAATGTTATGTTTCTTCATACAGGAGTCCGAAGAACAATAGAAAAACTATCCGGGGGGCGGAGCAACATGGCGGTGAGGAGACGCTGCGAGTAAGATCTCCCATTAAAAAAAGTTAATAGGGAGGAAAAGCGGCAGGTCCCAGTGAGAACTGGGACACGGAAGATAAACGGGTGACGCCAGCGAGCTGCCCGAAGAAGAAAGTGGCCATAAAAGAGGACTAGAAGGGAGGGAAGCGCAGAACCCTGCTCCCCTCCCCCGCCCACAGAGGCGGCACTCTCCGACCCGCAGAGAGGAGGAAACAACAAACCAAAACGACCAACAAGAACAAACGACGCAGCAAGCGGGACTGTGAGTGGAAAGGAACTATTGCAGCCACCACACCCCGTGAACGGGAGCTGTGGAGAACCCTGCAGGATCCGCCGCGGCGGTGAGCTCCGGGCGCCATTAGAGAAGAACAAAGACCCCGGGAGACGCGCACACAGCCCGGGCTGCCGGTAAGCTTGCGCGGAGAGTGGCGCGCTCGGCGCACTTGAAAAGCAAGTGCAGACCTGGATCGCGGCTGCCCAGGTCCCCGCACCTGCGACCTAGGCTTGCGGGGAGACGACCTAGGCTTGCGGGGAGACGCGCGGAGGTCCTCACTGAGGTGAAGGTCCCTCCCTGAGTGAGCAGGAACCAGGCGCCCAGGCACGGGAGCGGTGCAAAGGCGCCATTCCCGCGCCACTGAACTGGGCTACAGCCCGCGTCCTGGAACTGAGGGCTTTGAACTGAGACCCAGGGCACGAAAATTCGGGGCGTGGTTTCTCCACGACGGTGGGGCACAAGGCAGACACAGCACCCCAAAGCTGTTGAGGTGTACCCTACCATTCCTGCTCTGTTCTCTGTCCCACGGGGTGGGGGGAGGCGAAAAACAGCCCCCCAAGGACAATAGGAGAGATCTCTGGCGCCACCTAGCGACCAGGAAAAAAAAAGTCACTAACACCCTATAAAACAGGACATTTCTTAAGACTGCTTGAAAAGGGCAGGTTTCTGGAGGACCCAGTGGCCAGCCGGGAAGTTATTCCACGCCAGGCCCCTTCCGACCAGCAGTCTGAGCCCACAGAGGGAGCAGGCACCCACGTCCGGGGCAGACCGGGTGCGCAGAAGAGTGTGCCTGAAACCGGAGGCGCAGGGACTGCATCCCGCTTCGCCATTTGAGAACAGGGACATTTCTTCAGTAAAAACTGCCTAAATCCAGCAGAAAGCTCCCCCAGAAGACAGAGATGGCTCCTGGAAGAGCCAGAGGGGAGCGGAGAAGTTCACCCAAGATGTCAGTCAGTCCGAGCAACACAGTGTCCCAACGCATACGACAAATTAGAAAACAGACAGTAGGGAGTAGAAGAACCACACGCAACCTAAAAACTCCTCAGGAAAGAAGCACACCACAAAAAGAAAACCACTCCCCAGATTGCAACGACAGCAACTTGGAAGAACTTCTGAGCCTTCCAGAAAGAGAATTTAAAATTGCCATGATTAAAAAAGTGATAGATCAGAAGAAGGAAATTGAGTCCCTAAAGAGGGAAGTAAGAGAAATGCAGGAGATCAAAGAATTAATGGAGGAACTAAAGAACTCTGGGAAAAGCAATGAAAGCAGAATAGATGAAATGGAAGAACGAATAAGTAATCTTGAAGACACAGAAATAAAAAGAACCAAAACAGAAAAGGAAAGAGAAGTACGAAGGAAAAAGAATGAAGAAAGACTTCGGGAACTATCTGACTCCATGAGGAAAGGAAATATAAGAGTTATAGGAATTCCAGAAGGAGAGGAGAGAGATGTAGGAACAGAGAAAATATTCATGGATATAATTGAAGAGAACTTCCCAAATGAGAAGAAGGAGCTGAAAATTGATATACAAGAAGCAAGAAGAACACCAAACTTCCACGACGAAAGGAAAAACACAGCAAGACACATAATAGTAAAGCTCCCAAGAATCCAGGACAAGGAAAAAATAATGAAGCTGACAAGAGGGAAGAAACAGATAACATTCAAAGGAAAACCAATCAGGCTGACATCAGACTTCTCTGAAGAAACACTACGGGCAAGAAGAGAGTGGAGGGACATAGTCAACAGACTCCAAGAAAACAGATGCCAACCAAGAATACTCTATCCCGCAAAGCTCTCTTTCCTCCATGAAGAAAGAATATGGACCTTCCCAGACAAAGAGAAACTCCGGAATTTCATTGCGACTAAACCCCCACTCCAAAAAATACTACAAGGAATCCTAAAGCCAGAACCTCAGAGGGACGAATAACAACGAAAGAAGACCAAAAAAAAAAAAAAAAAAAAAAGTTATTAAAAGAATAAATAAATAAAATCAAAGGAAAGACAAACATAATGGCAAATACAGATGCTAACATATCAATATTAACTCTAAATGTAAATGGACTAAACTCTTCAATAAAAAGACACAGAGTTGCAGCCTGGATTAAGAAACAAAACCCAACCTTTTGCTGTCTCCAGGAAACACATTTAGCTACAAAAGATAAAAATAGGCTCAAAGTCAAAGGATGGAAAACAATCCTGCAAGCAAATGGGCCAAAAAAGAAAGCAGGAACAGCTATACTTATATCAGATAAAACAGACTTCAAACTCAAAAAAATAAAAAGAGACCCCAATGGTCACTACATTATGATTAAGGGGACAATACTTCAAGAAGAAATAACACTCATTAACATATACTCACCAAACGAAAGAGCACCAAAATATATCAGACAACTGTTGTCCTCTCTGAAAACAGACATCAAAGAAAACACATATGTAGTGGGAGACTTCAACACACCACTATCAACAATGGATAGATCAACAAGACAAAAAATAAGTAAAGAAACTAAAGCTCTAAATAAGGACCTAGAGCATTTGGGCTTAACAGACATCTATAGAACACTAAACCCAAAAAAAAACGGAGTACACATTTTTCTCAAGCGCACATGGATCATTCTCCAGGATCGATCACATACTGGGGCACAAGACAAACATCAACAGATACACCAAGATTGAAATCATACCAACCATCTTTTCTGACCACGAAGGCATCAAACTAGAAATAAATCATAAAAAGAAGGCAAGGAACTATCCTACCTCATGGAGATTAAAAGCCACACTACTGGAAGACCACTGGACTAACGAGGAGATCAAAGAAGAAATTAAAAAATTCTTTGAATTGAATGACAAGGAGGACACCAATATCCTAAATGTATGGGATGCAGCAAAAGCAGTAATAAGAGGAAAATATATAGCAATAGAAGCTCACATCAAAAAACAAGAAAGAACTCAAAGAAACAACCTAATCTCGAAGCTCAAAGATCTAGAAAAAGAACAACAAAAAAACCCCAGAACCAGTAGAAGAAAAGAAATAGTAAAAACCAAAGCAGAAATAAATGAAATTGAAACTAAAAAAACAATCCAAAAGATCAATGAAACCAAGAGCTGGTTCTTTGAAAAAATAAATAAAATAGACAAACCCCTAGCCAGGCTCACAAAGGAAAAAAGGGAGAAAGCACAAATACACAGAATCATAAATGAAAGAGGAGAAATCACAACGGACACAGCAGAAATCAAAAGAATAATCAGTAACTACTATGAACAGTTATATGGAAACAAGTTCAACAATCTAGAGGAGATGGACAAATTCCTACAACTCTACAATCACCCAAAGCTAGATAAAGAAGAAATAGAACACCTAAACAGACCAATTACAAGCAGCGAAATTGAAATGGTAATTAAAAACCTCCCCAAAAACAAAAGCCCAGGACCTGATGGATTTACAAATGAATTCTACCAAACATTCAGAGACGAATTAGTGCCTATCCTTCACAAACTCTTCCAAAAAATTGAGAAGGAAGGGACAATACCAAACACGTTCTATGAAGCCAATATTACACTAATACCAAAACCGAATAAGGACAACACAAAAAAGGAAAACTATAGGCCAATCTCCCTAATGAACACTGATGCAAAAATCCTCAATAAAATTTTAGCTATCAGAATCCAACAATGTATCCATAAGATAATTCACCACGACCAAGTTGGATTCATTCCAGGGGCACAAGGATGGTTTAACATCCGAAAATCAATCAACGTTATCCAACACATCAACAAAAAGAAATATAAAAACCATATGATAATATCAATAGATGCTGAGAAAGCTTTCGACAAAGTGCAACACCCATTCATGATAAAAGCCCTTGAAATTCTTGGGATACAAGGAACATACCTCAACATCATAAAGGCCATCTATGACAAGCCAACAGCCAGTATCATTCTCAATGGTGAAAAGCTGAAAGCAATTCCATTAAGATCTGGAACAAGACAAGGATGTCCACTCTCACCACTGCTTTTCAATATAATACTGGAAGTCCTAGCCAGAGCAATAAGACAAGAGAAAGACATCCAAGGAATCCAAATAGGAAAAGAAGAAGTCAAACTATCACTATTTGCAGATGATATGATAATATACATAGAGAACCCCAAAATCTCCACAGAAAAACTAATTCAACTCATCAATCAATTCAGTAAAGTGGCAGGATACAAAATCAACACGCAAAAGTCAGTAGCCTTCCTATACACAAACAATAAATCTGAAGAAGAAGAAATCAAAAAAACCACCCCTTTTATTATCGAAACAAAAAAATCAAATATTTGGGAATAAATCTAACAAAAGAGGTAAAGGACCTATACAAAGAAAACTATAAAACACTGTTAAAAGAAATAGAAGAAGACACAAAGAAATGGAAAGACATCCCCTGCTCATGGATTGGAAGAATAAACATTATTAAAATGGCCATCCTTCCAAAAGCAATATACAGATTCAATGCTATTCCAATCAAAATCTCAATGGCATTCTTCAAAGAAATAGAACAATTATTGATGAAATTCATATGGAATCACCAAAAACCCCGAATAGCCAAAGCTCTACTGAAAAAAAAAGACGGAAATGGAGGCATCACACTCCCAGACTTCAAACTATACTACAAAGCCATAATCATCAAAACTGCATGGTATTGGAACAAGAACAGACATACAGACCAATGGAATCGAATAGAAAATCCAGAAATAAACCCACAGATTTATGGTCAACTAATCTTTGACAAAGGAGCAAAGACTATGCATTGGAGCAAAGAAAGTTTGTTCAATAAATGGTGCTGGGAAAACTGGGTCGCTACATGCAAAAGAATGAAGCTTGACCACTACCTCACACCATACACAAAAATCAACTCAAAATGGATTAAAGAACTAGACATAAGACCTGAAACCATAAAATACATAGAAGGAAATATAGGCGAAACACTACGGGATTTGCACATCAAAGACATCTTTACAGACACATCACCCAAAGCAGTGATAGTGAAGACAAAGATAAACAGCTGGGACTACATCAAATTAAAGAGCTTCTGCACAGCAAAAGAGACAATAACAAAAACAAAGAGAAACCCCACCAACTGGGAGAACATTTTTGCACCCAACACTAATGATAAAGGACTGATCACAAAAATCTGCAAAGAGCTGATGAGACTCAGCAACAACAAAGAATATAATCCAGTCAAAAAATGGGCAGAAGAGCTAAAAAGAAACTTCTCTGAAGAGGAAATGCAAATGGCCAACAGACATATGAAAAAATGTTCAACATCACTTGTAATCAGGGAAATGCAAATCAAAACTACCATGAGATACCATCTCACACCAGTGAGAATGGCACATATTAAAAAAACTAGCAACAACAAATGTTGGCGAGGATGTGGAGAAAAAGGAACTCTTGTGCACTGTTGGTGGGAGTGCAAACTGGTCCAACCACTATGGAGAGCTGTGTGGAGATTTCTGGACCTACTAAACATAGAGCTTCCATATGATCCAGCAATTCCACTCCTAGGTATTTACCCAAAGGACACAGAAACATCAATTCCAAAGAGCACCTGCACTCCTATGTTTATAGCAGCACTGTTTACAATAGCTAAGCTTTGGAAACAACCCAAATGCCCAAAAATAGATGACTGGATCAAGAAGATGTGGTACATATATACCATGGAATATTACTCAGCATTCAAAAAAGATAAACACATGCAATTTGCAGCAACATGGATGGCGCTGGAAGGGATCATGCTCAGCGAAATAAGCCAAAAAGAAAAAGAAAAATACCGGATGGTCTCACTCATAGCAGGAATCTAGAAAACTTAAATAAGGGACCAGGAAAATGAATATAAGAAAGTGAAAATCAAAATCAACAAAAAACTATGAACCAGAGACACTTTTTGGGGGGTGGGGGGCGGGAGGGGAAGGATTGGGGTCAGAATGGGTCGTTTGCAATTGTATGGGGGAATATAAAAATAAAATTTAATATTTAAAAAAAAAAAAAAAAAAAAACAATTAAATGAACCAAAGAAAAAAAAAAAAAAAAAAAAAAAAAAAAGAAAAACTATCAAAGGCAATGTTTAGATTTTAATAGAACTAAATTTCTCTTAGTAAGAAAATAGACATTTAACTATATAGTCAGTGTCCTGTACCATGAAATAGTAAATAAGACATGGGTGGGACAACCTCTAGATTCATAAGAGTAATTTCTGAATTTGATAAAATACTAGCATTTCTGAACACCTAATTTTTTCCGTAGAGAAGGTCTTTTTTATTTTGAGAAAAGAATGACTACACAATGAAATTATTCCAGTGCCACTGATGAAATATTCTCCCACGATTACTACAATAATGATTATTTGGTAAGCAAGAATATAGACTAACACAAAAGTGAAATTTGCTTAGTAAGGAATCTAGAGCATGTCACACGTGTTTAGATTCAATAAAACTAAGACCACCATTTTCAGAAAATTCTCTGAGACAGTTAATGATCTGCTTTGTCACCTGTGAACTAGGCTTTTCCTGTGCCACCTCCAATATCATGTGGGATGAAAATTTTTATATTTAAAATTTTGTGGCAGAAACATGCCAGTATTTTCACAAGGCACTTTCTCCACTGGGAGTTGGGTGTTGCAGTGAGTGGGTTCCAGACATTGGAATACAAGCTGAAACCTGGTACAAAACATCCCAACCAATCTAGCAAACTCTCTCACAAATGACCTCCCATACTCCCCCCAATGCAGTTCATTGCACAGATAGGACCACAGTAATTTTGGGATCAGATGTTACAGATATCAGAGTCATGGGATGGAAGAGTCTAAGTATCTGAATTAGCACTTGGAGAAGATCTGTGGGCTGATGAAGAATGACCGTTTTTGGAATTTTCATGAATGAGAACTAAGTTTCTACCCTATCTGAGTAATTATAAATGTTTGACCTTGTAACAGCATTTCTTATCATCTGTGTGTAGTGTCATTCTCATGCCTAAGTTTTTGTCTAGTTTGAAAGTCATGGGGGTGATTCTTAATTTATTCATAATTCATGTAGTCATAAAAGTTCAACAAAATTAGGAAACTTGTTAATTATTCCTTTTTTTTTGGTAATTAAAGAGCAGGTTTATTAGAGAAATGGACAGAAGAGTAAAAGACACAAGCGGGCAGGAAGAGCTGCCCTGAAAGGGAGAGGTTTGCTGAGAGAGGCCTGCATGGTCGCAGGTGGGCAGCCTTGAAGAGAGCGGCCTCCACTGAGGGAGGTCAGTGAGAAGTCCTGGCGTGTACAGGTCACAGACAGGCAGGAGGCTGCTGCCCTGCGGAGGGAGAGAGTTGGTGCAAGGAAGCACCTGCATAGTCATAGGTGGGCAGAATGACTGCTTGTTAATTATTCTTAAGGAATTCTATAGAGCATAGCCTATAACATTGTTTTGCAAAGTTTTTTTAATGTCCTAGCAAAAAAATAGTAATTTGAATGAAATTTTTCAGTGAAATAGTTTCTTAACAAATGTTGGTCTATGAATTAGAGGTGGTCATACCTAGGAATATTCAGACCTGTTTAATTTCCCCACAAACTTTTAAAGTCCAGGGGGACTAAAAGGTGATTTTGTGAAAAAAAAAAAATTACAGTGAAGTTATGAGTGACAATCATAGGACCCTGTGTAGATAGGGGTTGTGAAATACAGTAGAAGTGAGTGTGGAGTGACCTTCTGGGTATTTGAGAGAGAGAAAGCAAAAACGTAGCCACTGCTTGAATGTCAGGTATTCGAGAGAAGTGTCTAAGGTCAGCTCTGGTTTGACACCTGCTTGATGGTGTGTCACTAACCAAAATAGGGGGAGAGGAAGAGAAGCAAGTGGGCAAAAGATGACTAGTCCAGCTCTCAGCAATGTATGAAGGAATCAGACGGAGACGGTAGTGAACCTGTTCAGTGGGCGCCAGCTTACAAGTGCTTAGTGAGGGTTCGGGAAAGAGTCAGACACTGTGTTAGAAAATCTGAGAGCAAAGCTGTAGGAATGTCTTTTGCCAAATCTGAAATAGTTGAGAGAAGGCGTGGAATCAGTCATAAAGAATTATTCACAGACCCTCTCCCCTCTCCCACAAATATAATCAATACAAATCTGGCATGCCCGGGGCCCTTTCTGAAGGACAGAGTCCAGCAAAACTCGAGCATTATCCATGACGGTAGCATTTTCAGCCCATTGTAATTAAATATCAGGAAAGATGTGAAACAAAAAATATTCATGTTTTGCCATTGGCATCACCTGGGTAGGTAGAAACCTGTGCTTGGGGTCCTTGTATATTTTGAGAATTTCCGGATTGTGGACCTGAGGAAAGATGGACATTGAAAGAGGCACTTAGCATCTGAAGAAACTTGACCAGTCTGTTAAATCCTCCCTGTTAAAAATACCGCCCACTTCAGCAAATGAATGGCCACATAGTCAGGACAAGAATTGAACTTTAATCAAAAGAAAGGTCAAAGGCACTTAGGCAAAAGGCACAGGACACAGAGGAAAACAGAGGGGGTCATATAATAGGTCTGTGATGGAGAGATGCTGACCTGAGCCAGAGCTTTGGATGTGTCTGTAAACTACCTTGACGGATGAAGATATCAAATGATGGGCACTGTGGTGCCAATAAGGGCACAGGACAGATTTTCTATGATTGGAGCAGATGGGTAAAGGAGAGTCCTGGAGCCCTAAGTGGGTTTTTCAGGGTTTCATTGGGATTTTATCAGGTACATGGCAGGAATGGGCAATGGAGGGGTCAGGAGGCTGGCAGACCTCCCAGCCCCCAGCAAGTCTTCACTCTTTCTTCTTTCCAGGCTCTAGGCAGTTCACTCTGTTGTTTTTTTTTTTTTTTCTTTGCCTCTGCTTCACTTGGCTAATATAAATACTGCAGCCATGGCCCACAGAAATAAACACCACCACTGAATATAACAATGTAACAAAATGCAGATGCCCGAATTCTGGCATGCAATCCTAATAGTGGGAGGGCAGAAAAGCCTGAAAATCATTTACCCTACAGGCCAAAGACACAGGCCTAGGTGAATATCAGTCCCCCACCTTACCTGAGGAGAGCCCCAGGGTCCCTGCCAGGTGGGAGTCATCTTCACAAATAAAATCAATGCAAATCTGGCACGCCCGGGGCCCTTTCCGAAGGACAGAGTCCATCAAAGCTCGAGCCTTATCCATGACAGTTGCATTTTCAACTTTTATTTTCTCCATCTCTTCCTGGTTCAGCACTCTTTTCTCTAGAAGTTCATCCAGCAAGCCGTTGATGGTACCTGAGCCCACTGAACGGACAAACTGTTTCCTCTTCTCCCGGAGGACCTGGTCTGTTTAAGGCCCGAGAATATAAGTCATGAAAACATCCTCCATTCCCTCTCAGCAACAGGAAATAGCTCCTCCAGACTTACTCAACAGAATGAACCTCTCTACACAGCTCAGTAATCCTGATTCTGGCCGTGGGGCGGGGGTATTCCTTATTACCAGCGTGTGCTCACCAAGAGCCTGCCGTCTGAGATGTGCATCTCCATAGACCACCTGACAGTAGGCACCATACTAACATGCCCATGTTTATTGATCTCTGATAATGAACCCAGAGAGACCATTGCCTCTGGGGACAACAGTCGCAGACCCCTGTCCTCTCTGATTGTGCCCCCTCCATGCACTGAAGTTTATGCTAGCGTAGAATTCAGGGGAGGCAGCACAATGACAGCAGATTACCATGGAAACACCTCTCTGGCCCTGTGTTTCCTTTTTAAAGTCTGATAGTCTTCCGGGCCTGGCCTGTCTCTTTGCCGGCCCTCTGCCATCTCGTCCCACTCCCTCTGTTCTGCTCAAAGAGACATTCACAGAATCAACTTAATGACTTTCAAAAAATCCTGCCCCTTCCCCAACTATTTATTTTCCAACATATGTCCTTGGTGGTAAAACTCACCCGCCATGGCTTTTCGTTGTCAAGCTTGGTGTGCCAATGTGAAACTGAAAGCAGTTTCCACCTTCCTTTTCAGCAGGGTGTGTGAGTGTTGAGAAACACCTACCGCTGTTACATATGCATGTCCTTTTTTTTTCCCCCCTCAAAGGCTTAATTAGGTCTCTTAAAGTTGGGGTGTATCAGTTTTTTATCCTTGGGAAATTTCCTCACCAGCACTTGGATCAAGTATGGGTAGAAAGTTAATGGGCACAAGAATAAGAAACACTTTGAAAATATGTGTACAATTAAAGAATAATGAGTCTCCCATTTGTTAGGAAGTGTCCCTGGACAATAACTCATCCTTTGTTTGCGTACTGCATTCAGCCTCCTACAAGAAACCACCACAGCCAGGATGGCTGTTGAGCAAGATAAATTCTGTTTCTCACAGTTTTGAATACCTGGATTCCAGTAATGCTGAAGTGAGGGACAGCCCTTTTAGGGGTACAGACTGCTGATTTCTCACTGTGTCTTCACACAGTTGACAGGACATGAGATCTCCCCAGAGACTCTTTTGGCACAAATAATCGTCATGTGGATTTTGCCCTCATCATCTATTCACATACCAAATGTTCCAGCCCCTAGTAGCGCCTTGGGCATTAGGTTTTCAACAGGAGTGTTTGGAAAGTGAGACATAGACATTTGATCCCAAAAGCACTGGGAGAACAGAACTGCCTAGTCCTGTGTCCCATTCCCTTATTCTGAACTGTAATCTAGGAGCTCTGAGTCCCTGCAAAGCGGTTCTGCTTTTAGGAACATATGAAATCTTTTCTCATCTAAAATTCTTCCTTTTCAGATGGCTGTTTTGAACGGGACGCCCTTAGAGACTGAAGCTTAGGCTCTTGGCTCACAATGTTGGACTTAGCACTTAAATCACCCACTCTTGGGCAAGGTATTGAACTTTTCATGCTTTGGTTCCCCCTATGTAAGAAATAATTTCATTATAGCTGGGCCTACAGTTTTGAACACCAAGCATTGACAATGTGGAAACCACATAGTACGTGGCCTGGGCACATGGTAAGCACAATGAGTGTGCTATTATTTTTAATATAATTATTTTATACTACAGAAGGTAGCAAGCCTAATATTATGCAGATTTATGACTTAAGCTTTCTTTTGTGAGAATGGCCATGCATCTTCATTCATTGGGCTGGCAGATTAGTGGATGAACAATCTTCTCCAAGCCAACTGCTGTTCTGGGTGTCAGGGTTTCAGTGAGAACTGATATGGCCTCCTGTCCTCAGGACTTCACCCTTCAAGAGTATAGGCAGACATGAAAATCAGTATTTAATTGGGATATTCAGAATGTAAAATGTGGTAAGTACTAAAGAGAAGAATTTAAATAAATGAAATAGTGGAGGACTCATTAAAACTGAAAAGAGAGGAGTCTAGGAAGACTCCAGAGACGTCACTGCATTTTGTAAGCACGTGTTTAGTTTTTTTGTCCCACAAGTAAATTTGGTGCAGCCAATTTGTTTTAAAGATGTATTTGATCGATGATGCACTAATAACAAAATGCAGATATTAGCCCTTCAGTTATCAGTTTATTTACTGTAAATACCATGGGAATTATTTCCTTATTATCTTGGAGAATAAGTGTTACTAAAATGTATGTGTGAACCTGTGCCTGTTTGGGCACAGGCACACATGGGTGAAGCCTCTAAATTAAATGTTGGCAGCTGTATTATGATTGTTTTAAAACTCTTTACAATTAGGAACAGCTTACCTTTTTATAGGCAAACCACTAGTTTTGCTTCCTGGGCTTGAGACTGGGTGTCAAGTATATTTAAATTACAATAAAATCCGCTCTGTAGGTTTCATTCTCAGGGTGGAGCTGAGTGAGGAGTGGTTATGGATTGGTAATATCGGAGACAGAAGGTAACTAACTGATTGAAACATTTCTGCATTCTAGGTACTGAGATAGGTCCTTTTGCCCATTCAGCCATGTTGTGGTGACTGATTTTCTGATTTTAAAATTATCCAATTTTATGTATTTTATTTATTTTTTAAATATTTATTTATCTATGTATACAAGAACTGGGTTATAGGCCAGAGGTGTGGGGGTGAAAGGATTCATCAGAAACAGAGTGGGGAACAGAATAGGCAGACTGACTGAAATACACTGCTGAGGGGAGCAGCGGGCGAGTCAGGAGAGGTCTGCTGTGCCATTTTAGTAGCTCCCTGGCCAGGGATTGAACTCGTGCTGCAGTGGCTATGAATAGCTTTATAGGTTGTATCTAAACCCCTTGCGCCACCAGGGAGGCCCAAATTTACCCAATTTTAAAAATCAGGATACTGAGGTTCTGATTGTATGTCTTTCTCACTAGACTACAAAATGTAATTTGACTACTTTCCCCTAAAGTCATTATTATTATTTTTTTTTAATCTAAAGAGTAGAGTTGTCAGAGCAGAACAATTCTGTGAGGAGAATGAATAAAATTCCTAGGGCAGATTCATGGGAAAGAAGGAGAAATCATAAATATTTTTGTTTGGATCAAAGTGTATTTGGCACATAAGTTGGAGCCCACGGTGTGCCAGTGCGTCCTTATACTACTGTCCTGTGCCCACATGTCTCCACATGGCCTGACTGACTTAATTTGTTCCCTGCCAAACCTGTTGGGTATTTACATTTATGTCCTCTTCTGGGGTGATTAAAGGTCAGACTTTGGACTTAGCCATTCTTAATAATATCAACACTTTACACTGGTATAATAACTGCTGTGATAATTTGTCACTACAAGTTTCGATTTCCTTGTCTGTAAACACCTACCTTAGATAAGATGGTGGATTAAGATGCTTGAAAACCACCTTTGAAATGCAAACATACAGTAATCGTAATTACTACCTTAATATATTTCTTCAAGGATCTATAGTGCTGGTAGTCATAAGCAGTGTCATAAGAAAAGTTTGCAAGAGAGAAAAACAACAGATTTTTTGCAAGGAATTCAAACAAGTGAGCAGCTACATCCATTTCAAGCACTTGGGGGAGGGTGGAGTGATATGGAGATTATGCTGCTGGAAAAAGACATCGAAAGCACTAGTGTGTACTTAGGAAACATAAGTTTCCTAAGAAATGTAATATGTGATCTTAATTTGTCTCATGTGCAATGGCCCTCCAGCTGCCTGATTGAAGCCTGCTGTGATGGGTCCCTGCCTGTAGTCACGTCCCACGTCATCCCCTGGGCTCTGCTCCCTGGAGATAACCACTAGTTCTGAGAACAGCTTGGCTGTGAGCAAGAACAGTGTGGGGAAGTTAGGGGCCACCGCTGTGAACAAACTTCAACCATTGGTATACAGTAGTCAGCTGATAAATGACCCCCAGTCCCTCATTTTTGAGCAGGTTCTGCAGAATTCCAGAGGATAGGATCCACCAGGAGGATGGAAACCCTGTTGCTCAGAACAGTGATGAACTCATTAATGCAACTTTTTTCTGTGTGTTTTTCAACCTTTCATCTCCCTTCTCCTCACCAGTGTTTCCTGGGAAATCACCTGACCTGCTTGAGATTCTCTTGCTCTCCCTGGTTGCACAGGCATCCAGCTGAGACAATCTTCTGCTGTTCCTCTTTCCACATGGAAACACTGTTCTTAATTTCCTTCAAATATTAGCTCATGTAATCCTTACTATACTATGAGATTGGTGATATTAACTCTCCTCACAGAGAAAAATGATTAATTACTCATACAGTCACATATCTAATAAGAAGAATGAGGCAAGGTGGACTGAAATACATAGATTAGTTTAGCTCCCAAAGTTTAATCTAAATGGAGTATTAGATTCATTTATTTATTTTATTTATTTATTTATTTATTTATTTATTTATTTATTTTTTCCTATAGAGGCTTTTTTTTTTTTTTTTTTAGTTTGTTTGTTTGTTTTGTTTATACAAGCACTGGGTACAGTCAGAAGCGTGGGAGGGTGAGAGAACTCACCAGAGTCAGAGTGGGGAGCAGAGCAGGCAGAAAGACCGAGGTACACTGCTGAGGGGAGCAGCGGGCGGCAGGAGAGGTCTGCGCGCCATGTGGGACCCTCCTCTGGTGGCCGGGGAGCAGCCGGGGATCGAACCGGCGTCGCAGCCGCGGGCAGCTTCGCAACCCAGCACTCAACCGCTGCGCCACCTGGGAGGCCCTAGATTCATTTATTTTTAATAGTCCATGCATCACAGTACAACCTTATCTTAGCCTTTAAAGCCTCAAATTATATCCCTTATATGTCTTATCAGATTTATCCCCCACTGAACTCCACAATATTCATTCATTAACTTTATTTTTTTTAAAGATTTATTTATTTGTGCATACAAAACCTGGGGCAAAGGCTAGAGATGCGTGGGGGTGAGAGGATTCATCAGAGACAGAGTGGGGAACAGAACAGGCAGACTGACTGAAATACACTGCTGAGGGGAGCAGCGGGCAAAACAGGATAGGTCTGCTATGCCATGTGGGTTGCTCTCTGGCCAGCCGGGGTTCGAATTCATGCTGCAGAGGCTGCAGACTGCTTCATAGTGCAGTGCTTAACCCCTTGTGACACAAGGGAGGCCCCATTTATTAACTTTAGGCAAAATAAGCTGCTTATATTATAAGCTTTTATTTACATATATATATAAAACCATCCCTCCAGCATTTTTTTTTTAAGTGAAGTAACTTTGGTTTACAACACTGTATTATTCAGAGGTGTAGAATCATATCTTACCAGGTGTGTGTCACCACACCACACCCACCACCGAGTCCAACACTAGTCCATTGGGCCCTCTCGCACTTTGCTCTCCTCCCCTCTACTAGCCTCAGTTTTATAGTCACTTCTGGGGTCTGTTATTGTTTTGATTCTGACTGACCCTTTGTCTCTTTTACTACACATGTACATGACAGCATTCAGTGTGTTCTCCTCCTGACTTATTCCACTTAGCATTTTCCCCTCCAGTTCCATCCATGTTTTTTTGTCCAAGTGATCGCCACATATTCCTCCGTAATTCTCTCACTGTTCCTTAAAGAATTCATTGAATG